CCGGTCCATGAACATCACAAACGAGACCGAAAGTCCTTCTCCACGGTTTCTCTGGATCCTTTCCCCCCCTGCTGTGCCCGGCTGAGTCTGCTTCCTGAGTCTGCTTCCTGAGTCTGCTTCCTGAGTCTGCTTCCTGAGTCCGCTTCCTGAGTCTGCTTCCAGAGTCCGCTTCCAGAGTCCGCTTCCAGAGTCCGCTTCCAGAGTCCGCTTCCAGAGTCCGCTTCCAGAGTCCGCTTCCAGAGTCCGCTTCCAGAGTCCGCTTCCTGAGTCCGCTCCCAAGTCCTGGATCTGATCTCTGCAGAGTCTCAGTTTGAACCTGTAGACCAGATGATGTAGTTTTGATAGTTTTCACGGTTATAATGGATATGACTAACTCTTTGTTGTCTCCCCCTCAGGCCCCTCCTCCTCCATGGAAGCCTCCCACCCTGTTAACCTCCCCGGCCTGCTGTATCAGGATCAAACCCTCCCCCCCCCCCCTGATGCACCTGCCATATGAATCCCCCCCCACAGCCTACCTGCCTTCCGCCCCTGCCCCCTCTCCTCTTCCTCACCCCTCCCACCTTTCCCATCACTCCTCATTCCACTGCCTCCCCCACTCTGCCCACTGGGGGGCACTGCAGAACGGGGGACACACAGCGAGGGTGTACTGTCCCCCCCCCACCTCCCACATGGTGGGTTACATCACAGCCCAGCCCCCCCACCACACCACCCACTACCTCCCCCCCTCCATCTGACTCCCACCTCCCCATTAGCTCGTGTTCAATGAGCAGTGCTAACAGCGCTAGCAGCGCTAACGAGTCAGCAGGACGTTTTTCACAGTGCTGAAAAAACTACAAATAATTTCTGCAAAAAAATGTAAATGTTTGAAGTCCCAGTTTGAGAGGGATCGCTTTGAGTTGGCCTTCTGTTGGAACGGCTCGTTCTGTGACTGAATAAAGGGTTGCACCAGCACACTGTTGAGAGCTGCAGTCATTTCAACATGTGGCTTTTGAGGAGTCCATTTTACATTATTCATTTATTCATTTCAATTTAATACACGTTTCATTATGTTTTGAAATGTAGTTTTTGTATAATTCTATTTCAAACGTCGTTTTAATATTTTTGGTTTGCATGTGAACGTTAGCCCGTTGATTAACCCTTAAGAGTCCCTGGGGCCATTTTTCAGCCATTCAGGTTTTCATGTTCATGCCATTGTGTTGAATGAATATTGCTCAAACTTGCCAGAGGATATTCTTTTTTAGTTGTATATTGAATTGTCGTCTCAGTTTTTTAAATTAGCCTAAAATGGCTAAGCTACACAAAAACCGACACATTTGTTCCTAGCGGCAAAAAATGCCCCATTGAAAACCATTGAAAATGCTTTTTTTGACCCCACATTTATCTCATAAACTCTTGATTTCCTTTATGTTAAGATTTCATTTTGGACCATTTTTACATTTGTCTACAAGATGGCGATAATTTTAACCCTTTGAAGCCTGTAGCAAAATGTCACCCTTTACTGTTTTCTGCAAGGGTCGTGTGTGTGTGTGTGTGTGTGTGTGTGTGTGTGTGTGTGTGTGTGTGTGTGTGTGTGTGTGTGTGTGTGTGTGTGTGTGTGTGTGTGTGTGTGTGTGTGTGTGTGGTGTGTGTGTGTGTGTGTGGTGTGTGTGTGTGTGTGTGTGTGTGTGTGTGTGTGTGTGTGTGTGTGTGTGTGTGTGTGTGTGTGTGGTGTGTGTGTGTGTGTGTGTGTGTGTGTGTGTGTGTGTGTGTGTGTGTGTGTGTGTGTGTGTGTGTGTGTGTGTGTGTGTGTGTGTGTGTGTGTGTGACTTTTCTCTTAGAAGGCCTCTAATTCAATAATAAAAACAATGAGTTGCGAGAACCAAAACAAAATTGGACTTTGTTTTGGTTCTCGCTCAGGTTGTTTATACAGGTGCAGGTGCAGGTGCAGCCATGGTTATAAGTATTACTATCAGTGCAGGAGTAGTCTTTTTGGAGATGGCAAGACATTACAGCACACAGGAGGCTCTGGACATCATCATGCACTCTGATTGAGAGGATGGCTCCTCATCCTCCTCCGTGGGCTCTGAGGCTGACACAGAAGAGGCCTCAGAGTCCACGGAGGACGCCTCAGAGTCCACGGAGGACGCCTCAGAGTCCACGGAGGACGCCTCAGAGTCCACGGAGGACGCCTCAGAGGTGGGAACAGACCAGCTAGACTCAGACTCATCTGAAGCTGAGAGCGGAGGGGAGATGGAGGAAGCAGCTGCAGGATGGACTTCAAAAAATGGTAAAGTGTTTTGGTCTCCCACAAACACTGAGTCGCTCCGCTACGTCCCAGCAGCCTGAAGTTTGATCCCGGGACCAACACACTATGCTGTCGCCCGAGTCAGTGACCCGGCATCCAGCTGTGCTCTGCTGCTGACAGATGACACCCTGCTGCTGACAGATGACAAACCTGCTGCTGACAGATGACACCCTGCTGCTGACAGATGACAAACCTGCATGGGAGACGGTCAATTGCAGAGTGGCGAGATACGGACACAGAGGAAGTGCAGGCTTACGTGGGGCTGCTCATTGTGGCCGGTGTCTACAGGTCAGAGATGAATCGACCCTCAGCCTCTGCAGTGAGGAATCGGGACGGAGCATTTCCCGAGCCACGATGTCCCACAAGAGGTTTCACCAAATCAGCCGAACACTGCGGTTCGACGACAAGCTATCCCGACCGCGGCGCCGTGATGACAAGCTGGCTGCCTTCAGCAAAGTCTGGGATATGTGGACGCACCGCCTGCCCATGCTGTTCAGCCCATTCAGCGACGTCTGCGTGGATGAACAGCTCGTCCCATCCAGAGGCAGGTGCAGCTTCAAGCAGTACATGCCAAAAAAGCTGTCCAAATACGGTATAAAGATTTGGGCAAACTGTGATGTAAAATCATCCTACCTGGAGACTGCAGGCGTATACAGGCAAAGCAGCTGGCAGTCGTCCTGAAGTCAACCAGGGGATGAGGGGGGTCCTGGAGAGAGGGGCTCCAGGGACACATCACCTGTGACAATGTGTTCACGTCCTTCTCCCTGGCTGAGGAGCTGCTCAGGAGAGAACTGTTCCTGGTTGGCACAATTCGCCGAAACAAGCCGAGCGATCCTCTCCTCCACCTTTGCCTTTACGAACACTGGTCTCTTCCCTCCCTCGACGGGGCAGGAATGTGCTGCTTCTAAGCACGAAACACTGGTCTCTTCCATCCCTCGACGGGGCAGGAATGTGCTGCTTCTAAGCACGAAACACTGGTCTCTTCCCTCCCTCGACGGGGCAGGAATGTGCTGCTTCTTAGCACGAAACACTGGTCTCTTCCATCCCTCGACGGGGCAGGAATGTGCTGCTTCTTAGCACGAAACACTGGTCTCTTCCCTCCCTCGACGGGGCAGGAATGTGCTGCTTCTTAGCACGAAACACTGGTCTCTTCCCTCCCTCGACGGGGCAGGAATGTGCTGCTTCTTAGCACGAAACACTGGTCTCTTCCCTCCCTCGACGGGGCAGGAATGTGCTGCTTCTTAGCACGAAACACTGGTCTCTTCCCTCCCTCGACGGAGCAGGAATGTGCTGCTTCTAAGCACGAAACACCGCAGTCCAGACGTAAGCGACGAAATGAAGAGAAAGCCAGTCATAATCAAAGACTACAACCGATGCAAAGGAGGTGTCGACAACCTTGATAAGGTAGGTGCCATTAGGCATCAGTTACGCACACATGTATTCTTACTCTTATATTCTTGTCTGAAATATATGTAGGTTTTTTTCAAATGAGCATTTTCCTATGAAATAATTAATATTTGCATCTTGAGAGAAAATGCTTGGAATCATTTATTCAAATTGTCTTGTGTTTGTTAGGTTGTTGCCACCTCCTCCTGCAGGAGGAGAACAAATCGCTGGCCACTTGCCCTCTTCCACAACCTGGTTGACATTTCCCATTACAACGCCTACGTCCTGTGGACATCAATGGAGCCATCCTGGCAGCAGCAGAGACCGTACAGGAGGAGGCTCTTCATTGAAGAGGTGGGAGAAATGCTGGTGACCCCACTCATCAGCCGCTGCAACAATGGTGTCAGATCTGCAGGGTGCTGCTGCAGGGTGCTGCTGCAGGGTGCTGCTGCAGGGTGCTGCTGCAGGGTGCTGCTGCAGGGTGCTGCTGCAGGGTGCTGCTGCAGGGTGCTGCTGCAGGCCCCTCTCTCATCAGGGAACGGAAGAGCAGGAGGCAGCGCCTTCACATGCAAGGACCACCGTCTGTCCATTTGCAGCCCCTGCTCGACCTGAGCTGAACTCTCACAGCCAGACACACAGTGTTCATTCAATGTTCATCTTTGTAAAATAAATGTTTTTCTGGTTCAAAATGATCTTGTATTATTCATTTTAGTCAGGCTGGAGTAGTTTTAAAAGATTTAGGATAAAAATAGGAATATATCATATTTTTATGGCAGTTTTTGTGAAGGTGGTATTTTCTGGCCTTAGGAACACGAGTGTGAGTTTTTGTTTAAATCTAACACTGCAAACAAAATAACAATGCATTCAAATTAATGTCGCTGCCAATCATTGACCAATCTAGGGACCTAATAACAATAATAATCAAATATTCCTTGAAATGTATTTTCTGAAAATTATTCGTTTTTTGTTTTTTTCAATAAAAAAACTGGAGTTTTTTTCAACAAACTGGCATTTAAAGGGTTAAAATCCCCAAAATATAATTCATATTTCATGTGTATGTCAGGCTGGAGTAGTTTTAAAAGACTGACTCTTTCAAAGTGGAAATAAATATTAATATATCATTTTATAGCAGTTTTTGTGAAGGTGGCATTTTATGGCCTTAGGAAGCTACGTTAAGGGTTAAAGATGCGCTTCATGACAGAAAATAACTTTATTTTGTTTAAAAACAGATCATCCTTAGGTACAAAACAGGAGGTAGTTAATCCTCCAATGGGAGTGAAGCGTTGTGGTGTTGTCATGGTAACAGCTCGGGGGGGATCTCCACGGTCCAGAGGTCACGACCCCCCCGAGTGCTCAGTGGGGCCTTAAGCCAGCGTGGATTGGACAGCCGGGTCAGGTGCTTCTGCTGCAGACCAATCAGAAGTGCTGCCTGCTCCAGCTCCTGTAGCTCCGCCCCCTGCAGGGAGGAGGGGCACTGCCAGGTCCCGCCCACATCCACCAGACCTGAAACACAGACGAGGCATTCTGGTACACACAGGTGCTGCCTTCAGGTACACACAGACAAGGCCTTCAGGTACACACAGGTGCTGCCTTCAGGTACACACAGACAAGGCCTTCAGGTACACACAGGTGCTGCCTTCAGGTACACACAGACAAGGCCTTCAGGTACACACAGACGCTGCCTTCAGGTACACACAGTAAAGGTGTTTCTTACCTGCCACCACCCCGCGGCCGAACCTCTCTCCTCCCTCCAGCAGCTCTTGGATCTGACCCCGGTTCATCAGTCCGCTCAGCGCCTGTCTCCACTCGCCCCCCTCCCAGTCCCTCTGGGCGATGTGGATCCCCAGAGTCTGGTTCTCCAGCGGCGCCAAAACCGGCCGCCAGCGACTCTCCACCGTCTTCAGCCCGTCCAGAACCAGGCCGGCGTAGGGCTGCCGAAACGACAAGCACCACACCTGCTGCGCCATTCTGAAAAACAAACGCACCTCACGTGTAAACAAACGCACCTCACGTATAAATCAAACGCACCTCACGTATAAATCAAACGCACCTCACGTATAAATCAAACGCACCTCACGTATAAATCAAACGCACCTCACGTGTAAACAAACGCACCTCACGTATAAATCAAACGCACCTCACGTATAAATCAAACGCACCTCACGTATAAATCAAACGCACCTCACGTGTAAATCAAACGCACCTCACGTGTAAATCAAACGCACCTCACGTGTAAATCAAACGCACCTCACGTATAAATCAAACGCACCTCACGTGTAAACAAACGCACCTCAAGTGTAAATCAAACGCACCTCACGTATACATCAAACGCACCTCACGTGTAAATCAAACGCACCTCACGTATACATCAAACGCACCTCACGTGTAAATTAAACGCACCTCAAGTGTAAATCAAACGCACCTCACGTGTAAATCAAACGCACCTCACGTGTAAATCAAACGCACCTCAAGTGTAAATCAAACGCACCTCACGTATAAATCAAACGCACCTCACGTGTAAATCAAACGCACCTCACGTGTAAACAAACGCACCTCACGTATAAATCAAACGCACCTCACGTATAAATCAAACGCACCTCACGTATAAATCAAACGCACCTCACGTGTAAATCAAACGCACCTCACGTGTAAATCAAACGCACCTCACGTGTAAATCAAACGCACCTCACGTATAAATCAAACGCACCTCACGTGTAAACAAACGCACCTCAAGTGTAAATCAAACGCACCTCACGTATACATCAAACGCACCTCACGTGTAAATCAAACGCACCTCACGTATACATCAAACGCACCTCACGTGTAAATTAAACGCACCTCAAGTGTAAATCAAACGCACCTCACGTGTAAATCAAACGCACCTCACGTGTAAATCAAACGCACCTCAAGTGTAAATCAAACGCACCTCACGTATAAATCAAACGCACCTCACGTGTAAATCAAACGCACCTCACGTGTAAATCAAACGCACCTCACGTGTAAACAAACGCACCTCAAGTGTAAATCAAACGCACCTCAAGTGTAAATCAAACGCACCTCAAGTGTAAATCAAACGCACCTCACGTATAAATCAAACGCACCTCAAGTGTAAATCAAACGCACCTCACATATAAATCAAACGCACCTCACGTGTAAATCAAACGCACCTCAAGTGTAAATCAAACGCACCTCACGTGTAAACAAACGCACCTCAAGTGTAAATCAAACGCACCTCACGTGTAAATCAAACGCACCTCACGTGTAAATCAAACGCACCTCAAGTGTAAATCAAACGCACCTCACATATAAATCAAACGCACCTCACGTGTAAACAAACGCACCTCAAGTGTAAATCAAACGCACCTCACGTGTAAATCAAACGCACCTCACGTGTAAATCAAACGCACCTCAAGTGTAAATCAAACGCACCTCACGTGTAAACAAACGCACCTCAAGTGTAAAACAAACGCACCTCACGTATAAATCAAACGCACCTCACGTATAAATCAAACGCACATCACGTGTAAATCAAACGCACCTCACGTGTAAATCAAACGCACCTCAAGTGTAAATCAAACGCACCTCACGTGTAAACAAACGCACCTCAAGTGTAAATCAAACGCACCTCACGTGTAAACAAACGCACCTCAAGTGTAAATCAAACGCACCTCACGTATAAATCAAACGCACCTCACGTGTAAATCAAACGCACCTCACGTATACATCAAACGCACCTCACGTGTAAATTAAACGCACCTCAAGTGTAAATCAAACGCACCTCACGTGTAAATCAAACGCACCTCACGTGTAAATCAAACGCACCTCAAGTGTAAATCAAACGCACCTCACGTATAAATCAAACGCACCTCACGTGTAAATCAAACGCACCTCAAGTGTAAATCAAACGCACCTCACGTATAAATCAAACGCACCTCACGTGTAAACAAACGCACCTCACGTGTAAATCAAACGCACCTCACGTATAAATCAAACGCACCTCACGTGTAAACAAACGCACCTCACGTGTAAATCAAACGCACCTCACGTATAAATCAAACGCACCTCACGTATAAATAAAACGCACCTCACGTGTAAATCAAACGCACCTCACGTGTAAATCAAACGCACCTCAAGTGTAAATCAAACGCACCTCACGTATAAATCAAACGCACCTCACGTGTAAATCAAACGCACCTCAAGTGTAAATCAAACGCACCTCACGTGTAAACAAACGCACCTCAAGTGTAAATCAAACGCACCTCAAGTGTAAATCAAACGCACCTCAAGTGTAAATCAAACGCACCTCACGTATAAATCAAACGCACCTCAAGTGTAAATCAAACGCACCTCACATATAAATCAAACGCACCTCACGTGTAAATCAAACGCACCTCAAGTGTAAATCAAACGCACCTCACGTGTAAACAAACGCACCTCAAGTGTAAATCAAACGCACCTCACGTGTAAATCAAACGCACCTCACGTGTAAATCAAACGCACCTCAAGTGTAAATCAAACGCACCTCACGTGTAAACAAACGCACCTCAAGTGTAAAACAAACGCACCTCACGTATAAATCAAACGCACCTCACGTATAAATCAAACGCACATCACGTGTAAATCAAACGCACCTCACGTGTAAATCAAACGCACCTCAAGTGTAAATCAAACGCACCTCACGTGTAAACAAACGCACCTCAAGTGTAAATCAAACGCACCTCACGTATAAATCAAACGCACCTCAAGTGTAAATCAAACGCACCTCACGTATAAATCAAACGCACCTCACATGAATCTTCCACTAAGATATATTCGCAGTCTGTGCTTTAGGAAGTTTAGTGTCAGTAAATGTTGTTCAATGTTTCCCTCAGCTGACGGACTGTTATTCAGGTCGCACAGATTCCACTTCTGCTTCTCTCAGTGTTTCTTCTTCTCCGGGTGAAATGTGTGCAGCGGCTCTGCTGCCCTCCTCAGGCGGACCGGGGTAATGCAGAGTCACATGTTTAATCATGTTGTTAAAGGTAGGGTAGGTAATTCACATCAGAAACACTTTTTGTTATATTCCATGGAATGCTCTTAACATCCCGATAGCAATAAATACATTAAATACTTTGACAATAAATACATTAAATACTTTGACAATAAATACATACAAATATCTCATCTGTGGAAGCCGTGGCGCTGTAAAAAGCACGACCAATCATCTGAGCCGGCCGGGCTAAAATAACTGGATGGCCTACCTGCCTGTCAGCCTTCCATCTGTGCACAAACGTATCTCCTGCCCTCATTGGTCATGTGTGAGTTTGTGTGTGTTTGAGGGGCTCTGTGAGGAAGTCTGAAGGAAGGGCCACATTTTTTTCGGCTGCGTACTTTCAAATTCTAGCGCACTCCAGCTGGTTTCTCCATTCTTACCTACCATACCTTTAAGAACTGAGGTCATAACTTCAGACTCTAGATCAGTATCTATCATAACTTCAGACTCTAGATCAGTATCTATCATAACTTCAGACTCTAGATCAGTATCTATCATAACTTCAGTAAAATAAAAAATAAACATGATTTTATTTTTGGAATAAATGAGTAAATTAAAAATGGTGATCATCCCTCAGCTGAAACACACACACACCATACTTGCCAACCCTCCCGATTTCATTGCCCTCTCCCGGTTTCCTCCCGGGGTCATATTTCTCCCGATTTCTGACAAAATCAGATTTACTCAGGACTGTTTCCACTCGGACTTTAATACAGCTACACCATTGTTTGGTTTCCATGGTAGCGTAGCGCGCGCAACTGAAAGTCTGAGAGGGTGAGGAAGATAGTCACAGCAAACAGAACAAGAATCGACAATTCTACCCTCTGCTCACTCCTTAATCATTAATGATGACAGGAGGCACAGCAGCCCTCTGTCTGATGGACAGATGTGTTCATGACCACTTCTATATTTACTTTGAGTCATTCACAGTGCGGTATAATGAGACAATAACAGGCTACAGATGCAGACACACACACACACACACACACACACATACACACACACACACACACACACACACACACACACACACACACACACACACACACACACACACACACACACATATTTCAGAATCAAACAGAGCACTCTCATAATAACGTAACACTATCAGAGACTGGATATACCCCCCCCCCCCCCCCCCCCCCCCCTCGGTCGCTACAATGAGGGAAATAAATGACGGGCCAAAAGTTTTATTTACAAGTATTAAAAGTAATCAGAGGACACCAAACCAACTGAGACCTGTCTGTCCGCTGCATCTACGCACACACTGCACCACACACACCTACACCACACACACGCACCTACAGCTCCTAAAGCATATCATCAGTGAAGTAAGAAGATATGATTCTACACTGTATTGAAGTAAACATATATTGTTTGAACGGGTTTTGATAATCACTTAGAAAAAGAATGTTATTCTCACTTTTAAATTCACTGACTTAGAGATTCTGTGTTTCACACACCAACATTGATCCTTATCACCACTAAGAGCCAGATGCTGTTTCTAAGTCGTTAAAGACATCGTAAAATAAGAAAAGATCCCCTGGAAAAGGTAGGGAGGGGAGATCGGGACGGAGATAACATTGACTTTTGACCTAGTGTGGTTTGGGGTCTCACTCTGTTCGAAACTCTGATTGACCTCGGCCAGAAGTGAATCCAGCCAATCAGGACACTTGGAGGAGGTGGTCAGTTTAAACAGCTCCTCCCCAGGGCTTCTCTGATTCGCTTGGGAGAAAAGTGGGAAGGAAGAATCGACAAATCTCCGCCCCAAAGACAGATAGAAATACTGACGTTTGTGTGTGTAAAAATGCTTTTTGGGTTTGGTGAGTTGGTTGACTCCGTTAATCTGTATCCGCATCGCACCATTGACAGAAGGCACTCTCTTCTCGTTCGATGGGTGGTTTGATCCCGATACATTTTGGCCGCATCGCATCACGAATCTAAAAAGTCCGGGGTACTCGAGTACTCTGTATAACTTGTATATGTGTTTGGTTTCCTACTAGAAGTAAACTCAGATAATTTGTTATAACTTTGATTCCGGTGTTTTCAATTCCTTTCTTAATTTAATAGAGATCCAGCCTCATCCAACGAACGGCGCGTAGCAGAGGTATTCTACTCCAACAAGTGGTGACTCCCGACGTTTGTGAGCTGATCTCTAGAAAGGGACACCGACAGCCAGGGGACAGAATCCAGTCCAGGGGGAGGGCACAGAGATACTGTTGACAACTACACCAAGGCGCCATATACAAAAGGTGAGCAGACACCTGTTTTGATTATCAAAGATCTGTGATTGATTATACTAAAAAATGTAGAGTTGTCAGCAGCGTTCTCAGTGTTCTTAGTCACGGTGGGAAATACAATACATATTCTAGTTAAATTAGATTAATAGTGCTTAGAGAAGGGTATTTGAGTCCTGGATCTAGAGCAAAAACGAAGGCTGCAAGGCTAGAAAAAGAGGGTTAAATTCCCCGCAGATCATGATAAGATTGATTAATGCGGTTACCTTGCAACGCTTTAATTAAAGACTAACGAAGGTGTCAAAATAGGGTTAAATTCCCCGTAGGTCAATATAACATTGATGAATACGGTTACCTTGCAGTGCTTTCATTAAAGACTGTAAGGCTATAAAAGAAGGGTTACATTCCCCGCAGGTCATGATCAGATTGATTAATGCGGTTACCTTTCGTGGTGCTTTAAATGTATAAAATGTCTGTAATTGTTATATGGTGGGTGATAGAAGAGGAGAGAGACGCGACCTCCAACTAATTATTTGGAACGACCGGCTCTCATCACAAAACTGTTGTGGGGATAATCAGGCTCATTAAACGTGACGATAAAGAGATTTTGTTGACTGAGTTTTTAACTCTTGACCTGAAGTCGCAATCACCGTGAGGAGATTGTAGAAGCTTACTTCTGGAAGTCACGCTATCTGTTGAAATAAACATCGCACAATAATAATTTGCCTGACTGTGATATGATAAGGTATGAGAAGCTCTGTGTGATTTTTTTTAAGTCAAATCTGTGTAATACTTGAGAGACAGAGAGCAACAAGAAGGTGGTATAATGTCTGAGACCCTACCTCCACCCTATGGAGATAATGGCTCACGAATGCCACTTATGAGTATCCCATCTAATACTCCTAAAGGAAAACGCATTGTTAGACCTGATATTCAGGGATAAGGAATGTTGGAAATAGTAATGGAAGATATTGAAAATCTTAAACTGGATCAACCAACCATGTTAGTGAACCCTGCTAATATGGAGCTAAAACATGTAGAATGAGTAGCAGCAGCTCTGGCAAAGACAATAGGTCCTAGCATGCAAGCACAGAGCGGTAATATGATAAGGGCTATTAAACTGACCCTTTTTGGAAATGGGATTTTCCGTTACATAACGGAAGACTCAATTCAGGCCTTAAAGAACGCTTTACAAACAAGTCAGGGAGTGTTAAATGTGGAGCTATGTTGCTCAAAAGGGAACTTACACTTTTGGAAGAGATCTCCCTTTCTATGTCCTGAGGTGCTGCAGATTCAAAGCAGCATACAGGGTCAAAGACAGGCGTGACCTCTGGAGAGGAAGAAAATCTAAATCTGAACAGACCACAGAGCCCATTAAAAGGTTTTATGGCCTCTACACTGAGAGGAAGATCTGGAGATTGTAAGGAACTCTCCCTGAATATCCACCCCCACACCATTGAGGGGAAGAGTGTTCCTTTCACCAATAAACAAATCATCTCTTAACCAAGTCAGATTTCAAAATAGCCATACCTCAAGTTGTTAAGAAAAGAGGGAGATTCAAAAAGTTATCATTAATTGCCCAGTATATTAAATAAATACAAACAGACACGTATCAATATAAGTCAGATAATATAGACGAGGTCAATCATGGAAGAAGGCTGACATTTAATGCCTGATATATAAGTAGTAGTAATAATAAATATATAGCTGATATTAAATAACTGATGTATAAGGCTCGATGTTTCTGAAAATAAGAACACCGTTAACGGCGTTCTATTTCAGAAAAAGGGGGAAAAGGATAGGATATACATCAGACAATATGTATGTGAGATTATTACGTTTTTAGGAGAAATTTATCAATTTAAAATACTAGTTTTGGTATTTTTTGTTTTGTTTTATTTGTTGCTTTTAAGAGAAATTGATACATTTAAAATAATCTAGCTTTGGTTATTTTTTGTTTTGTTAGTTTGTTCCTTTTTTTGTTTTATTTTTATTTTTGTTCTATTTTTTATTTTTATTTTGATTTTTGATTTTGATTTTTGATTTTGATTTTTTGAGATGATTTCAAAACCATATTTCCAGCAACTTAAGGGCTTGGTATGAGACTTCTCCACACAGGCTGCTGACGTCAAAAGGGGGACCCGAGAAACACAAGGCCAACACAGCAGATTACGTCTGGTTGGAGGGGACCTCCCATGCCGTTCGCCTAGATGGAAAGGGAGACAACTGGTACCACTGGAGCCAGTGTGCAGTCGGGAAAAACACCTGCGAGGACCCTGGACGACATCAGGACAGAGTTGGCCCTCGTCGCGAGGACCCTGGACGACATCAGAACAGATCTGGCTCTCGTCAAGGCAGTCGACCCAGGAGGCGCCATCAGCAGTCCGGAGGAGGAGGATCAGGACATCTCTCCAGCAGTCGACCCAGGAGGCGCCATCAGCAGTCCGGAGGAGGAGGATCGGGAGGACATCTCTCCAGCATCGACCCGGAAGCCGCCATCAGCGGGCCGGGGGAGGACAATCAGGCCACATCTCTCTAGCAGGCACCCCAGAAGCCGCCGTCAGCGGGCTGGGGGGACGAAGATATGGCAAACCAAGACGGCACAGGGAACTCCATTTCCCGCTGAAACAGGTTGATATAGCCGGTGTGGAACTTTGTCTGAACAATCCATTT